TTATATTTGCTATAACAATCGAATACATTACTTATTTTTCGTTCATTTCATTACTTTAAACTAAATAGGGTGAGAGCATCTCATATAGCTGATTTACTGGTAGTCTCGAACCCTACTCATGAACGAAAAATAAATATTGCGTAGGCTCTAATTCCCATGCTTGCAGATATTAGGCATTGACTTCACGAGTCGTCTCCCTACTTAGATCTGTGTAGCTTGAGCAAACTGCGGACGTTTATCTCTGGTAGTCTGCTGCTTATCGAGCGGATTTCTTGTACATTTTAGCCATAATGCCGAATTTTCAGGACGGTTGTGATTATCCGCCTGCCTGATTATGTGAATACCAGACCCTCAAAGTGGTAGTTGCAAATCACGCTCGACCACGCTTTAGCTTGATTTACCAAACTTCCCCACCTACCTCCTCATCGCAGTCCCTTTTCCTCTGTGTATAATAGATCTTTGATCCCGGCGTCTTATTAATGGTCTTGCCGTATCCTCGTTATACCCGAGTTTGCTTAAGCAATAAGCAAAGTTATCGCTAACTCTGCCTTCTTCCAATCTCTTGCTCATTAAATTTTTTTCTCCAAGAACGTCAATGATCTCTAATTTTGCGTTTCCTTATGTTTTCACCATATGAGTTCCCTCTGTCTGTTCCCTTGTAATTGATCTCGTGGCCAGCCTTTGCGATGCGTTCCGCTAATTCTGATTTTTCGGTATCCATTTTCCTGCACAACCCGTAAAGGCAATGCCTAATACCCACAAGCATAGGAATCGGAGCACATGATCTCTGGAGTTGAGGCGACATTGTCCGCGATATTGAAGGCTTGAGAAACAGAGCATGGAGTAAACCTCACACCGGGGCAGGAACCGAGTGAAATCGGTCAGCCAGACAGGTAGGAAACGTATCTTCAAGGCCATGCGGTAGATCCGAACAGGAGGCCCAAGTCGGATTAGCAAATCGGAGGGAGTGGGGTGGGCAAGGCAAACAGCGGGTGTGATGACGCCACACCAAGCTAGCCGAACATAGCACATCTCTCAGGGAGTAGAATAAAGTCAAGTCAGAAGTGGGGGTAGGGCAGGGAGTGTGATAAGAGAGTAAGGAGTACATAAATGGGCCTGGACAGAAGGGGAATGATAGCAAAACCGTTTCGGCATTGTAGCTTGGTGCTGAGATTAGCAAAACGTACCGACGATGTCGGCGAGACATCTGGGAATGTACCGAATCCAAGGTCTGGATCTTGGAATTATTATAAATACTATTGCAGAGGACTGTGGACATGGCACGTCTAACTAATTCGACCTGGCCGTACGACGAAGTTGCGAAACCTAGGTCGGCCCACTTCTATGCATCGAAAAGAGACTACGGCCATACCAAAGTCCACACAATCTTGGACCTCATACCTTGTTTTTACTAGTTCATTCTACTTTACAAAGCCCTCGAGACACTGGTTAAGATATTCCAGCCTTTCTATATGACCGAGATTATCTTATCTGGAACACTTTCCTATGACATTCTCAGCCTTGAAACGGTCGTTAATCTTCATGATAAAACTTATTTTATTCATTATCATATATCAAGATTGATTGCTTGACTATATCTCTTTCCGAGTGTTAGTCTAGTTTTAAAGATTTAGCTCTAATTTCCTTATAATGTCATATTGTTTGGGGTCGGACAAAGGTGGAGCATTTGTATGTATGGACCATGTCATTGATGTAGACAAGCTCTTAGGCTTAAAGCCTAATTCCCCATACAAATCCTGGGGCTTAAACTCAAGGCTTCCTCGTAGCACTGCTTAAGTGGAGATTAGAAGTGGAAATTTAACAAATTTCTTTATTAAAATGATAGCCTTGTAGTTTGTCCAAAACTTAATCAGAAGAGCCACTTGGGATTATTGCGGATAATAAGGGTTGCATGATGCGTAAATAATCACTCTTTCTTTGTATCCGATTACTGCACATATGCGAGTATTTACAACTCTCATCAGGGAATCTTTGTGGCTTTGTTAAGCTGGTTGGTGAGATTGTTATT